ACTTTCGGAAAAAATTAGATTGTTCAAGATAATGAGAAACCCGATAGAAAATTCATTCAGTTGGTGCGGGATTTGAACAACCAGATACCACCGATAATCGCATGAAGCTAAACTATGGTGTACGTTAATTATACAGTGTAGAGAATAACACTTTTGCTGTCCCATTTGCGTCTGTTACGGGTGTGAGGAGCTACTCACATTTGTGAGTAGTAGGTAACATAGTTGGTGATTCATTTCAACGATCAACAATCAACAAGATCACCAAGGGCAAATTTCTGTATCTCAACGAACAACTATTCTTTACCCGTTGTGCGGCCAGGAACTGCGATGGTATGTTTCTGATGAGATTTCTGTGTTATTTATNTACCCTCTGTAATCCTCAACGAACAGCTGTCCTCGACCGAGCACCGCCTTGTAGAATTGTAACATCGGGAAGCATTCTGTTAAAGGTTTTTAAGGTTATCGTTACTCTCCCATAGTGGATATGGTTGATGCACTTGATTTGTCTGATGAAAATCATTTTCCTTCAAATGAATCCAATTATAGCTAGTATAAAGTTATCTGCTCCGTAGAAATATCTGTGCTATAACGCGTGATAACTACCCGTGTTTGTTACCCAATCAATTTACCAAAAATAACATGGGTGAATTTTTTTCACCAATTTAGTGGTCGCTTTATGACTTAGTTAATTCAATATGATAACAGGTATTAAAACCGTTTTATAATACGCTTTACATTTAGCTATGTAATTCATCTCAGCAATCGAAACTTTAACTGGGTTTAGAGCTGACCTGTATGGTGTATCTTGGAAACATACAGCACTTTACATAGGAACAACGGCAAACTGGATTCAAGCTCTCTCGATCCTGAGCTACATTCGAAAGCCTTGTTGTTTAAAGGATTACCGTACGCTCATCACTTCTGGATAACGCAGTATGGTAGATATCCTCATCCTAAGCGTTTTCTTGACATATTATTCGTCCGTTGGTATAGTAATCTGTTGGATGGGTCTATTCTCGGACCTCTCACCTGATATTTGTCATTGGTTCCGCTGTGTGCTCACCAAGTATACCGAAGTGATAAAGTTATCTAGCATAAAAGAAAACTTAGAGTGTTAGTCGATTGGTTTTCGCTTGTGGCATTTCATTTTCTGAACATGATACGCAATTAATTTCCTGCACTGGACTTTTTTGTGTTGACCAAATGGAAGGCAGCTTTTACAGTGCTGCCTGAAAATTTAGTTGCATCGTTAGGCTATATATTTGACATCACAATGAAATTACTCACCGGTGCCTTCATCCGTTTTACGACGATACGCGTAATGTTCCGCTTCTGAAAATTGGATCATCAAATAGAAGTTGGGGTTGCATTGATTCGTTGTGTTGGGTTTGCAAAATTTTAAACAACAACTGGTTGAATATGATAAGACAGTTCGGTAAAAGCAATTTATCAGTGAAATTATTTTCATCAAACTTGCGAGTCTTTTGCAAAATACGAAATTATATACACAATTTTCAAGGTATAGCTTCAACAGGCAATATTTTGTTTAAGATCACTTAAAGTCTAAAAGCCAATAAATGATTTATCTCCATCAATAATTGAACAGTTTACTCTGCTTTACCTTGAGGATATATCGATATATACAGATGTATCTAATTAATTCAAAACTTATTCCTTGAAACTCCTAACCTTAAATGTGTGCTTCGGTTAACTTATTTTTATCTCATTATGTATAGTCAAACTACATTCTCAGCTATTCTCATCAAAAACTTAAGTATATTGGACTGTTTCCACTTTTCCGTTTTACGGAACACCACAAATCTAATCACAATATACGTTGATTGCTTTTGACAAGAATATTTACCTGTTCTTCCGGTAGATGTTTAAATAAATCTATATTGTCACCAAAGGTGAAACGAAACTCACAAACACTGAAACACATCCCCCTTGTCAACCGTGTTCCACGACTTTTAGGCTCGTTCAAAATGGACAGTGACACGCAAACCATCTCACTTTTTTGAAAAACTTGATTTTGATGTTTTCTTTCACAGATTGTGCCTGTAGGCAACATAGCAATGCCGTGACAAGTAAAGTGTATACGACAGACAGGACACGAAATTGTCACAAGCAGAAATAGCTTACATTTAAAAGATCTATAAATCAAAACTTTTTGATTTTTTAGAGTCTGACATCAGAGCTAAAGTTGCAGAGAATCACTTGGGGTTGGATAACAAATTGCTGTGATAATCCTAATGTTCAAATGTTCTTGCACAGTACACCTTTCTTCCTACCTTATTGTGGTTGTACGGTAAATTGTGAACTGTCTTTGCCTCAGCGAAACGGACCATCAAACATTTAATGAATACTGATAACAGGTTTTTCTCCGGGAAAGTTGATGCAATTGCCACAAGAGCCTTACCTGACCTTTTAAAGGTTTTAAAAAGATGTATAACACCCCCAGCAGTGAAATTATTTTGCTGCTAAAGTGATATTCTGCTTAAAAATACCCATATTTTTAATACCTAAAGGAGTACGTTATTCAATTCCCAGATACCTTCGCATGCACGCGTATAACTTTCCCCGGTAGGAGATTTACTGAAGAATGAAAATCACGGATTTCATATCCTATGTAATCAGCTTAGAGGCAATATTCAACTTCCAAAGGTAACCATAAATTTTCAGTAACTGGGACGGAAAATCCTATCTTTTTCTATCAGAATGCATGCGTGTTAAGTGAAAATGCATTCGCCTGCGTTGGTCACAGTTGAGCAATGGGGTCTTCTTGATTCGGACCAGTAACCAACAACATTCTAGAAACGCGGTACTGCATTGTTCTTGTACGCTAACTGGCTGTATTCTGTCTACTATTTTGTCTCGGAATAGCTATGGCTCTTAATGGAAGCACTTGGAGTTGTATATGCTCTGCCATATTTCAAAGTGAGGCAAAATCTGAAACGCATATAGTTAAGACCTTCATTTTTATAACGATATCAAGTCAGTATGAGAGGACTGATACATAATTACTATACACCGATTGAGAGAACCGTGAAGAAAACTGTCCGCTAAGTTAAATTGATTGGATCATCCAATTTAAGAAAGCAAAAATGCAAAACGGATGAAAACAAAAATAGGAGATGTACTGCTTATGTGTTTCGGTATCAGTTGAAAACCCGCGCCTAAAATTTTCGATCTTCTGGAAGTTAGAAAAGATCGAAAATAAGAGGAACACATCGAAGTCCGTTTTTATTCTTAGTCTGGAAGCCTTTTGTGCAATAGACAAGTTGTGTTAAATAACTGTTCCCATTGTATACTGTTCAAATTAGAGCTTTTAAAGGATTTAAGTAGAAGACGTAAAAAATATATTTTTATTTTTATTTGTGAAGAATATCTGGTTTTCAGACTTACTTATTAGTGCAGCTTATCCAAATATTTTGCAGATTTCTCAACACTAAGTTTGTATCTATGCGTTTTATGCTATCACGAATATTAGTCATAAACATTTCAGGTTTAACTTCCGCAGTTCATGATTCTCCAATTTATCACATTATTAATCACTTTTGGTGATATTTCAGTAAGATCATTAGGACTGTACCGTACAGTTTTTAACCCTTTTGAAACAATGTGTGATGATAAGATTGTCCTCGATAAATATTCCATCCAAAATATTATCCTTTTTTGTCTACTGATGAATACGTATTTACTGATTGTGGCTGAATAACAAGGTTGAAAATTCATGTTTGAATGTGCCGTTTTAAAATGTTTTTGTTCTAGATGAGTGAACGTTGTGTTCATCATGCAGTGGCCCGTAAAATCCATCAATTTGATGGGTGTTTCGTCAAAATATTTAAAGTGGATCAGGTTCAACCGTAAAACCTCATTCACCTCCATATCAAAAGCCTCCGTGCGACTGAAAAATATTGTCGTTTAAGCCTGGTCATTGGAAGAGCCTTCGGAGTTGGATTATTCACGTATTTGTTTCGGGATTCCGATTGTTTGAAACTTTCGAAATTTCATCATGTATGATGAGGAATCTCAAAATAAACGACTTGCTTATTCAACAGTCCGGTTTATTTCTTGATAAGACAGAATTTGGACCAAGCGTTTTTCCTTGGATTCACATTAAGTTGATGCCGGAATTAATCATACGACTTGAACCCCTTCCCCCCCCCCCTTAGAGATGGAATACAAGAACAGCACACATCCGAGGTGAACATTATGTAAACACAACTCGCTGTCAGTGCAACAACATCTTGTTCATGCGTTTGAGTCTAGAGTTGGCGGTACACTAATTAGTTCTCAGTGAGTGCACGCGATGTGGTTCGGGGGAGAAAAACAGATCTTGCCTTGCACACGCACACCAAACTCGATTTCGTAGTCAAGAGCAGAATCAGTTGTACTGGAGAAGAGAAGCATCATCCACCCTTCTTTTCTCTCCCCTCTAGCGCTTTGGATTGAAAATGCATACAAATCCTCATGTAAGATGTTTGAGAACATAAAATCAGGCTCGCAACAGTCAAGTGTAATTAACCAAACAGGTTCAGACTCCATTATTTCACTGAGTGATAAACGTAAATCCAAGCGAAAGAAAAACATAACATCAGTGAAGGACTTTTTCATCATGAGTACACATGCAAGTGACTGTCTTATGAACCACTAATCTGAGACTGAGGTAATGAGAGACGCCGTGAAATGTTCTTCAATAAAACTTCATAAACCCTGCAGGCAGTAACCTTACTTTGATTGGATTTTCGCATGTTATTTGCCTCAAACATAGATATCTATTTGAGGTTTTTCTATGTAAAGCCGTTCGGGTTCATCATATTTCAGTCACTCTAAAAGTCCCCCAAACGCAACACATTCGTGAAGCATATTATTTATTAATTAGTCAATGTCCGTTGTTTGCGTTTTCATTGCAGAGTTCGCTCGGAGGTGAAATGTACGTCATGCAACGGGTAACCTCCACCTAGTGGTCCAAATCATTCTGGATTTTTCGACGCATTAGGATCAACCGGTCGGAGCAAAGCACAGCTTGCCGACCCCCACTGGGTTGCATAACACAAAGGAAAGACACAGGGAGGAAACAGGTAAAATGAAATGTGAAGGCGCTACAGTGCAATGTGGTGGTCATAGATGATGACACTTAGAACCAAGAGCTAGAGAGAAAGTCATCTCGGATCGGGTCGGGATGAACGCCACTCACGTTAGATCGAACGCACTTGTGCATTCTTGTCTGTTTGTGTTTACATGTGTGTATGCGTGTGCGTGTGAGGAATTTTGGAGAGGAATGAGAACCCATGAATGGTAAGTTGAACAGATACAGGAAAACCATGTTTGTAGTCAGGTCGCAGATGAATAATGGGAAAAATTTGACAGCTTCCTGCGGTGAAACAACGATGCATCACTCGACGCCTTGTCAATCAAAGTAAGCTGGGTCTGCCCTCTCTTCTTATTTTGTAGTCTTAGATCAAGCGGCATAACCAAACCCGGAGGACTATGCGTATTAAATGAAAACAGACTTATAAGACCTATATTATCGTAGACTCACGTGAATTTCCGGGAACATTTACTAAACATGACTGGATTAAACAAACTTCTTTCCTTTGTAAATCTCTATGCACTTATGTGTTATTTGGGGTTAGTAATCGAGTGAATCGAAATTGTATTGGTCGTAAATGCCCCAAGTTCCTAAATGCCGACGAAGCATCAACTAAGATTAACAGTATTCTTTCATCGATTAAATAAGACATTTTTTCCGTCCTATTCAACTTTGTTCATTCACGCCAGTGGGTGATGCGTTAGCTCTCGTAGACTTGAAACGCAGTCGAGTTTTCTTTAAAAGACTCTGTGCGAAGACATGAAAGAGGACTGTGTTTACTCGATCTGTGTGTATGCGAGGTGAGTAGAAAGTCTTCCTCGCTTTCGCGTGATGTGACTTCACTGACTGATCTAATTATCTTGCAACCATATTAGCGGACGTGCGACGGCGACCTGATGGCCATGGCCTGCCGGACCAAAACATTTGTCTGAGTAATGATGTCACCGTGGTACATCAGGTATATCTTGGTGGCGGGTCATTGGAACACACTTCTTAATTGAGTTGGACAAATGCGGCCGTGTGACTGTGCCAACAAACCAACAGAAATCCCACCCAGTGGGCAAATGGGGGTGGACAAAGTTGTTTCATCAATTTGCGTGCATTTGTCTGTGTGTTTGTGTGCAGAAATGTTAGTAAAGTGTCCTCTGAGACACGTAACTCCCAGACTGCTACAGAACAAAACAATCCACAAAACTGGATATGCAAATTATCGAATGGGTGACCCACGCCAATGGGTTACCCTCTGCTAACAA